ATGGAGATATCCATTTTATACAAGTTCAGTTAGGGCATATCTACACTTAAAAGGTAATCAGTGTTCCTGTAAAACTTCAGTGTAGACACTGCCTACAATCACAGAAGGGGTTCTTCCATCAATATAGTTAATCCACCTCCCTGAGAGGCAGTAGCCAGGTCGACATATGAATTCTTCCATTAGACTAGCACTGTCTACACTGGGAGTTAGGTCAGCATAGCTAAGTCTCTAAGGGGTGTGGATTTTTCACATCCCTGAGGCCTGGTCTATACTAGACCAAGAAGGTCGGCTTAAGGTACACAACTCCAGCGATGCAAAATGGGTACCTGAAGTCAGTTTAGCCTTAAGCCAAGCCTTAGCGGCATCCAACCAGTAGGCGGCCGACATGAGCCAACACTCTCGTCAGCTTTCCTTACTCCTCGCAAAAGGAGGAGTACTGGACGCTGGTGCGGGCTGTCTTCCATGTTCAATTTACAGGTCTATACTAGAGCTGCTAAAACAAATGCTAGACGATTGACCTCTGGAGCATCAATCTCCCATTAAGTGTAGACGTACCCTGAGGGACTTAGCTATGCTAATATCAGATCTTACTGTGTAACTACACCCAAGCTGTGAATCATCAAGAAATCCTTAAATATATAAGTAGTTTTACTGTAGCTTTTACTTAGAGAGATATTTAAATTCTTTCCTCATTAGATACAATATTTGGTGAAAAATTATCTGGGAACTCAATTAATTATAAAATTGTGTTTTGTTTGATGCGTTCTAACTAAATTTTATAAATCCTGTTTTAATGAAATGTTTAATATCAGAGTAATTCTAAATGAACCTGTTTACACTCTGCATAATGGTTTTGCACATGATTTACCTAAGCATGCATAGGGTACAATATTTGGGAAACTATTACAATTTTTACAAAATCTGTATGCTCTACCAATGTAGTAGTACTGGTAAGAAACAGATTGAATATAGATATGTGAAGTAGATACACACATTGTTTTGGTATTTAATGAACTTTAAAAACAATATTAAAATAGTGCACATGGCTAAATTCTTATATCAAACCGAGTAAGTTTACCTCACAAAATCAAATCAGCTGTAATATTAACAAATTTTAAATTCTTAATTACATTAAATTATTTCTGGCTTTTAAAAAATGTTTCACTAACATTTTTAACCCTCTTTTTGCATAATAAATTAAATAAAACAAATAATGCTTAAAGTTCAGATATGCTACAGATATTCAAAACTGACTAGCTACATTAAAATGCACCATAAAAAAAGCTCTCTGATTGGGAAGTTGATTGATAATTTTGTGAGGTACTTGGTCTCTCCAAAACACTCAGGAGTTAATTACCTGACATACCTATTCTACATGGATAATTTCAAAACCTAACTATAGAACGTGTCATTTATATATAATGCACATCATTTGCTGTATATGGCACAGATGCTAAGTGTTCACATCCACAAGTCCTTTGCCACATAACATGTTTAGGTAAAATACAACACTGAAGAATAGAAAAGTGCCTGTAACAAAATAAAAGACACACAAGTAATAATAAATTAAATCTCATTAAAATTGATATAAAATTGTTCAAGTGTTTAAAGTAGCAGATGTGTCATGCAACAGAAAGAGAGGCGATTCAGACAGGCGCACCATGCATCCTAGTTTGCATTCATGGTGTCTGCAACCATGCTCCTTGGCCAGTGAACGCTAAGTACCTGAGGCATTGTCAGTCTTGGAAGCAAAACCAGTAACATTCCGTTTCTCATTCTTCTATACAAAATATTTTAGACAAGCTGTGCCTCAGAAAGTTAACCAGATAACCTCAGGCTCTACAGTGATACTTTGCTGCACTGTAAGAGCGCTGTACTGGGCCATATCTAAGGAATAGCAATCATTAAATCATTACTTAACTACATTTTCCAGGAAATGCAGTTCACTATATACCAACTTTTTTATCAAATTGTGCTTTCTTGAATTTGCCAAGTTTGCACACTAAGAAAATATCTTCACAGAACAGACAACTCCCCTTCCCTTTTTTTTTGGCACAAAACCATTAAGATTCTCAGACCAAACTATCACCACACAAGAATGAAGATATAGTAACCTGCATGGTGCACCAGTGCTTATTCAACCATACAGTAAACTATAAAGACAGCAAAGTGCCTCCACTTTGCATAACTAGCAATTCTCCTGCCTTTCAAGGATAGCACCACTATAGTTACACTTCAGACAAGGGAGCGTTCTTGCCAAGCTCTTTAATTCCCTGGAGAATTCGCTTCATATGACCCACTTTCGTTATCCCCAGGTCCTACAAAAGAGAAGGAAAGGAAGATTTTATTTACAAGAGAAAAAATCCAATACAATTAAGCCATGCACCAGATACAGAACCTTTACAGTTAATTTTAAGTGATTTGCAACAGCAAACACATTTCTAAATATGGAAATAAAAAATTGCTACCTAATGTTGCAAAATATATATATCTTTATATACATGAACATCTTTCAATTCAGCACAGAGGAAATTACTTACCTGAAATGCTGTAACTCACTCAAACCCCCATTTTGTGTTCTCCTGACTTCTGTGCACAGCCATTAGGTTTTTTAAATGCCCAGAAATTGCTCAATCTCCCTCTCCTCTCTAATATAGTAGTTGTCAGCTTCAAGGGATATGACAGGTCATAATTTCTATCCATCTATTTTTATTTTATCTGTGGCCCTAACATTCCTATCTTAATCAGCAAAAACACACATCCCCAGTCTCCCATGGGAAAGTGGATGTAGAGCTACAGATATGTAGGACAACTTTCCTTCAGAGAACAATAGCTAAGTTTAGAGTGGATTTCTCAGACAGAAAGGTAAGTATCTTAACATGGATATGTTTGGTGATTTGAGAGCCAGAGGAAAATTTCTGGCAAACGTAACAATGACATCCTGAAGGAAAATATGCAAGAAATAAGTCGGAATATAGTGTATGGACATGTAAACCAATGTGGCAGTTAAGATCAGCGGAAATGTTCTCAGTATTGGTTTCTGGGACCCAATTCTTCAGTTCTGGAAGCAGCAAGGCCCACTTCAGAAGAGGTTTCCCTTCTCACTTCCACTCACACCTTTGAAACTCATTCCCATTGTTAGTGAATTTGCAGAATTTCAAGGGTATTGTCCAAGAGTTGTTTATTTGTTTCAACTGATTCATTTTCATTCACTTAATCAATTTGTCTATTTTTTTTTGCAGGAATCATCATACTTATTTAATACAACCCACTATGGATACCTTATGCAATTTCTGTTTATTTTTTGTAAAATGTTTCCAGTTGAAATAAAAAATGAGTATCATCTTTAATTTGTATTGGGATTCCTGATTGTGCTACTGACTGCATAACTTCAAGCAATTTACATAAGCTTTCTGATCCTCAGTTTCCTCATATACAAAACCCATCTTTGTGAAACACTTTGGAATCCTTGGATAAATGTTACTAGGTAAGTCCAATGTATAAATATTATTAAAGTTATTTGAAAACTTATGATCATATAAAATATTTCTAAAATATAAAATCTTCTACTTTCATAGGATACATTTTCCATAGCAAGGATAAGGAAGAGAAAGGCAACATTAAATATTATTTAATGTATTGTAAAAGCTTGGTAACAACATATATCATTGTGCAAACACTTTTCACAAAGAGTTCATATATAAATTTTCTGAAATCATTAAAAACTCTGGAAGTATGGTTTGATACTTAAGTTACTATGCAATTTTATTTCCATTTACCAGCCTGAGACAAGGAGAGAGTGATATAAAATTGAAACAAATCCCTTTGTTTACATAAAATGTAAGTGGGTACTAATTAAACACATTACCCTCTGTCCACCTGTGGAGACGCGAGTTCAAACTCTGTGAGGTTGGAAATGGAAAGAAATTGGTCCTATTTCCTAATGGAAATACACTACAGCTCAGGGCTGTCATGTATAGTGATATAGCACAATTAGAAGGACCTGCTCAGATGGACCCAAGAGTAAAAAAGCAAGGGTTGTGCACATCTCCAGGCAGTCCCTGGATTACGTACAAGATAGGGATTGTAGGTTTGTTCTTAAGTTGAATTTGTATGTAAGTCGGAACTGGCATCCAGATTCAGCCGCTGCTGAAACTGACCAGCGGCTGACTACA